TTATCGGGATGTCGCTGACCTCTGGAAACAAGGGAGGCCCAGTGGCTTTGAGGCGGAGGGTGCGCAGAAAAGCAGAAAGGATATCTGCGTGACCGCATCAGCTACGGGCCGAAAGCGTTCCCACGAATTTGGAGACCCTAAATTTGGGTTCTCCGTGTCCTGAAACAGGGATCCGTGCAAATGAATCGTGGGCCATCGCTGTTGTATTGCTGCTAACAAGAATTCTATTTCAGGATCATCCTGATTATATTTGCGAAACCATTTTTGCGTTTGCATGCATACACCAATATTTGCCGGCGAGCAAAGCCAGCACAGCTTTATTACTTACTTATTTTTGCGTGTTTGCGTGTGTCCAAGGCACTCATCGTGCACATTGTCACAGGTGACAATGTTTTGCTAGCAAATTACTAATTGCAGGAAATTCGGAGCCGAAATTTGCCAGCTGGTCACCTGCCCGAGAGCCTCCAGAATTGTTGCCTCCTCTCGTCTGAAAAAGAAGGACAACTTTGTCGAGAAAACAGCTTTCTCACCTCTGCGTTGTCTTTTCTGGATCACTGGGGCTCTTGGGACCAAGGTTATAGATTTGTATTGGAAAAAAACGCAGTAAACCAAAAAACAAAGGAAAAAGCCTTAGCATGTGTATGAAAAACCGCTATTAGGTACTGCTACTGCAAAGAGGTGTAAATTCGAAGGGTTTCGGCATGCCGTGTCCGGACACCTGGACATACCTGCAAGGCTAGCGAGCCTCGCAGTGTGTTTGCCATAGCTCTAAAAGCATACGCGGTGCAGATCTGCGACGGGGATCCTAGAAATAATAAAAGTTCAGCAGCATTGCGATATTTTCGGAGGGCAACAGCCCGCGTTCTTTTAATATCTGCGCCTGTGTGAATGGCCACTAATTTGAGCTGCAAACAGAAAACCGTTCACCTGTGTGTGTGTGTGTGTGTGTGTGTGTGTGTGTGTGTGAGGATGTGTTGCAGCCTCAATCCACACATGTGGATTCAGGCTGCAATACATCCTCAAGCTGCCTCATGCATGAGCAGCCCAACAATCCCATCACAATGATGGAATGCCACGTGACCTGGTGTACAACGGATATATAAATATACGCCCTTTTCGTATCCCATTTGTGCAACCCACAACTGTTAAAGGCCGCTTCCCTGTGTGTGTACATAGACAGGAACGCACACACATCCATATCTGGATGCAGATCCAATGGCGACGCCGCGAGGTCTCAAATCGACAGAAAAGGCCCCTTTTTATGCTGTAGAGTGTGACATAAACCAGGTGCAACATCTGATGTGGGCTAATATTTGACACAGATTGGCGGGGAGCTCCCTTGGTCTGCCCAGAGTTACGACCGCCTGCCCCTCATCCATGCCATATATGCGAGCTTGAAAATGCTTTGGTGAACCCAAAATCACCTGGCAATGGTACCGCACTGAACACTTGTGTTCAGAGGTTATTGGCACCAAATCATGCCAATGGGGACAGCGTTTGACGATACCAAGAATTCTCATGGATCTGTAAACATTCCTCTGTAGCAAAGAATCCAATTTTTATGTGAAAGGTAATCCAAAAATAGTAACGCATATACATCTCCATGGCAGAAAGGTGCTTCTAAGCGCCGGTGTACACCAGGCACTGGTAAAAAACGACCTGTTTGCGACGCCAACTGCGATGCTATTTTGACGCAAAGTGATGCCGTCACAGTGATTGCAATGGCATAAAAGTGGCTTCGAAGGCATCAATTTGTGTGAAATGGGGTCACAATTGGCATTACAAACAGGTCTTTTTCTGCTGGTGAGGGAGACATGTCTCCATGAATGCGCACAACCAACCTTGTTATTTGTGTTTACGTTTTACGTTCTTACATTTATGTTTTTACGCAGGAAAACGTAAATTTCCAAACAAAGCTATTTTTGCGGCTGTTTTTACGTTTTTACGCACTGGTGACTGGACAACCAGCTTGGACCTGGATTTTGTGTTCCGGTTTCTGGACTCACTAGCGGGGGAGCCAAAAGGGGAGGCGCGCCAGTGAGCGCCATCTTTTTTGTTGCCGACTTCACACGGCCCCAACAATAGATCGTTTCCTATGCCTGAGCATTAGGGACATGCAGACCGAAAAGGCAAAATTGTCATGCCCGAGTTCCGGATTTCTCTCTTTGTACATCAGTGTATTTGTACCAATGGGATTTGATTGGGACGTCCGGTGTGAGCGCGGCTGATTGCCCCAAAGGGCGGGAGGAGCCGGCCGTTTCACGTAAATTAGACAACGCGGTTTAGAATGCTGCTTCCGCCAGAACCCCACCGCGATCGGCGTCTGCCATGGCGACCGCGGCCCTTGATATTCCCATGATGTTCAGCCCGTCCTTTCTGACTGCTTGACAGGTACCCCACTGCACCGCGCCGCGGTGCGAATTCGTCACGGCTGTACGATTCCGGGGTCCGGTCGTCTGATGCTGAGGGCCAGGCGGGGCAGCCCCACGGAAGCCGAGTGCGACACGGCGCTTAGCGCCACTTGACTGCGCGCACGGTGCACATGCCGTCAGGTTCTCGCTTCAGCCGTTCCGGTCATCGGCGGACGGGGCCTTGGCCCTCAAGAGGCCCTCACCCGTTCTTCCCCCGCTGCCCCTCCGCCTCCCACCGCGGCATTGCGGAATCCGTCGGGAGAAGCGACGAATCAAAGGGGAGAATCGACGAACCAGGGCGGATCTGGGCGGAGATCGCGTTCGTCCCCGCGTGCAATGCAGCCGGCGTACGCCAGCCGACCGCCCACCATCAACCCAGGTGGCGGGGGATGGGAGTGGTGGACGAGCAACCTGCGCCTGTGGGTGGTCTCCCTGACTATCAATTCGGCCGGCCTGGCCTACATCCTCGCGCTGTACGCTGGCAAGGGCTTCGAGGCCAAGCTGCACTGCCCGCCGGGGCTGCCCGGCGACGAAGAGGATGACCGTCCGGGCAGATTCGACCCCGACTACGAGGATCTCACGCGCTACGACGTCCTGGACGGGGCTTTCCTTCTGCTGTACCCCTTGGGATGGATCTGCGCACTGGTTCTGATGGCGATGGCGTTCTGGACCCGGGAGCAGCGCTGGTCGGTCTGGCAGGTGCTGGCCGCGTGGCTGGCCGCGGCGGTGGCGTGCGCGCACGTCGCGGGCGCAACGGCGCTGCTGGCACGGTGCGCCGACGACCCCGAGGCCTTCAGGGTGGTTGACAAGCTGGGGTGGGAGGGCGTGCTGGCGTTCCGGCGACCCGGAAACAGGTGAGTGTTGCGATGATTCGTACGGGTTGGCCGGCATCACCGAACTGCGTGGAAAGCGCTGACATTCAGGGTTCCTGGCTGAGTTCTTTCTCGTCCTTTCAGCGCTGCATGCCCGTTTTGTGAGGCCGCACGTGTGGGGCGGCGCGGCGGTGGAGTGGCGGAGTCGGTGCACCCCTGGGCCGACGTCCGTCCGGGCGCCGGCGTTGGTCAAGGGGCTTTCGGGCCGACCTGTACCTGGCCGTCAATGTAGTGCGCCAGCGACATGCACAGAGTTCTTCAGGAAATTCGCCAGGAGAAGCTGGTGCCCGCGGATTCTAACAGTGAGCCACCTTGTATCGTCGTACGCGGTCACTTACTGGGGTGTGTTGCTGTATTTTTGGCTGCCGTCGCATTGGGAGGGGGGTCTGCTCGGGAGACCAAAAATACCTTCTTGCTGGTTGCGTGCTTCGGTTTTGTCGTGGAAAAGCCCCCAAGTCTGCTGTGAAGCTGTGGCTTGCTACCCATCTCTGTTTCGAGCGTGGCAAATGCCAGCAGCAAGAAACACAGCTTTGCAAAGTCTGCTGCAATACGATTTTGACACCGAATGGTGTCCTCACAATGATTGCGATGGCACAAAGAATGTAGCTATAATGCACCAAGTCGCGTCAAACAGCATCGCAGTTGCCGTTGCCAAAGTTTCTTTGTCTATTGGCGTGGGCAGTCTTGAGCTCCTTTGCAACGCATACTTTCGTGATCCATAAGTCGGGCTGGGGAAATGCCATCAGTGAAGGCTGGTTGTTCATAATTACAACGGAAATGAGATAATCGCAGAGAAAGATGCGCACACAATATTTCAGGCATGGGCGAGAGTGTCAATGCAGGGCTTCCGGCTGAGGTCGACGACCTTTATGGCAGCGGCGCTGATGAACGCAATGCCATTTTACTTGCAAGAAATCGATTTTTCTGTCATTTCCAAGTAGACAGTGGTCCTAAACACCCGCCCTCTCGTATTGGGTGGCGCACCCATGTGGCGGTTCACGTGCAGTAAATGGGAGATCAGAATGGGCTCAGCGGAGCCTTGTCAATATTTTACCAAACACAAGGCGCAGCCAGTGTCCGAACTATCGACTGCAGCATGACGCTGCCAGCGCCTGAGTAGCCCACAACATCCAGTTAGTTTTTCCAGAGTTGTGGAAGACAACAAGAACTTTGTAAAAACTTTGCAAGATCAACACACTGAGCCACATGCATCAGTGCACCTCGAAGTGCTCCATAATCACGTGCTGCGTGTGTCCTGGGAGCTGGCTAACGGCCAGGTCATAATCGTGGGGCTTCCGTACATGTAAGAAGGATACGGGTGCGCATGCCAGAATACAAGACTCACCGACATTATGATGTCAGAGTGGACATGACCTCACCAACCGTGTTCCGTGCGGTTGGCGCGCGCACACGCCGCACAAAATTTTGCTGGTTTTGAAAGGATCACTAGGAAAAAAAGGGCCAAATAACACGTGTTCAAACGTGTATAAAGTTTACGGGTTTGTGCTATTTTTGTGTTCTTAGCATGTAAAATTATGATAAAATGTGTTTTATGTGTGTTCGCAAAAGTGTTATTTGGCCCTTTTTTTCCTAGTGGATTTGATCTATGTGAGGAAAGTTTCTGTACTCATCGGAATAAGATTCCACATGACTGCTTTCGTTGCATAGCGGCCGGGCGACTGCGCGCAGTGCATTGTGCGATGCTGGTTCGGTCCAGCTTCCAGAGCATCAAGGACGCACGTCCCCCGCAGCCCTGCAGAATGCTGGCAAGTTGTTGCACGTCCCCTACCTAAAGTTTTGGCTGCTTTGCACTGCGAGGGTGCTCGACGTGGGGGACACGGCTGCATACATCGTTGCGGGCGTCCTCATTTCTATCCTGCTCATGGGCGTCGCAGTCAACTTGTGGTCCACATGCATGTGGCAAACGGACGAGGGGCCCGCATCTCCTCGGACGAATGGAACAAACGGACAAAGGGACACCCAGTTCAACTGCCGCTGCGGATTCGACCTCTGGTTCCAGCTCTTCGTGGTGCTGTCATTTCTGGACTTCGTGTCCGACGTGTTGTACATGCTCACGGAAGACTTCCACAGCAAGACGCTCCACGCCGTGGGCCTCCTGCTGCTGGCGACGCCTTACTTGGGATACGGGTGGATCATCAGCCGGATGCTGAGCCCCACCACCGGCAACGCGACGTTCGAATTCGGCCTGTTTGCCAGCATCGACTGCATTGGGGACTCCGTGCGCGAGTTCTGGAGAATCATGACCTGCTCTTCGGGACAGACCGGCGCGGGCTCGAAGCCGCCAAAATACGATCCGATCCACCAGTTTGCGATCTTCCTGTTCGTGGGGGTCCCTTGCGCGGCGATGTTCTATATCTATTCCTGGCTGTGGTTCGCGGTTGTGGTCATCATCGGCTTCCTGTTCTTTCAGTGCCGGGTGCTGGCCCTCTCCCGGGCAACAAGGTTCATTCGAGTCATGGCGGAGGACGAGATGAGGCCCGCGGAGTCCAACGGCATCAACGGCAAGACGTTCAACGTCATCTTCTTGTCCGAGTTCTTCCTGGAAGCGATTCCTCAGCTGGCCCTGCAGGTAGCGAACAACGTGCTCATCGGCGGAAGCTGGTCGGCCATCGCCGTCCTGTCTGTGGCGCTCGCGGCCTTCATGATCTATTCCTGCGCATACAAAATATGGGGGAACGTCTTCAGGGAGCGTAAAGCCTGGCTGGAAATAGAGCACGGCTACGGTAGGCTGGTGGACGACTCCAATGTGCCCAGGGTCTGACAGCGATTCGGGGGGAAGCGACGCGCTGGCGGGCAATGGAACACTGTTGCCATTCCGCGCGCAATTATGTATGGGGCTAAAGTAGTGACGACTGACGTTTTGACATGACCCCAAAATCCGTTCCAATTAATTAGAGGAGTCGCCGCGTGGCGGAGTCGCTAGGTAGAGCTATGTTGACTGGGGTGTGTTGTCTTTCATGCGGTCACTAGGTAGGCATCGGAAAGGTCCGCAACTTGTGTTGAGCATCCTAGGTACGCGAGGGGGAAAAATTGAAGGTAACAGCTGGGGATATATATGTTGAGTCCAGAAGGAAGCCTGTCGAGAGGGCTGCTAAAATGGCTGGACGAACGAAGATGCAGCTGGATTAAGGCTCGCACTCTCCACGGAACGATTTTGCTTTGACCCGATGGTTCACAGTCGCGGCTCACATATGGAGGTCCTCCTTCGCCACTCCCGTCCTTTATGGGAACAGTCCAATCGTGCAGCTGAGGACATGGTACCCGTCTCCTTGTCTGCAGTGCATTTGTCAACATCACGTCCATTCAAACATACGGCTGCTGGGGAACTTCACTGCGCTGCATTTGGAGCACGTCGAAACATCTGATTGGTGTACACTGACAGAACGTAAATTTAGCAACCGTATACTCCGAGTTAAATCAAGTGTTGAAACATGGAGGGGTGATACAGGCAGGCAAAGATGGGCAGCAGCCTCCCCTCTACGATGTTCGCTTCAAGATTTGGTAGTGTGGCTCCTGAAAGAGGCTTGAACAAAATTTGATTTCAACCGTTGATTGAAGAGGTGTGTCATCCAAGCAGCTTTTTGTTTGTAACGCACAATTATCAGCGTCAGCAAACCCCATCTTCGGTATCCTCTTGTCAGGAATCCCACCCGCCCCACCCAACCCCATTCCCCCCCTCTTTTCAACTCCAGAACGTGTGCGGAAGACAACGGAAAATGGAAGTGATCCTTGCCAACATTGACATGCCCAAGTGGCCGCATCCAGGCCCTGCTCATTTGCTGCCTTATCAGTTTTGGGGCATGAAAGGGTGGTGTCAGTGCTGATGCAATCAATCTAGGACAGAAAAGAAGCCAATGGAAGGAGAGACAAATGATGGCGAGCAGAACAGTGGACGGCAGTTCGGCGATTGGTTCTAGGGCTGGTCATCATTGGAGAAGCGTTGTTTTGCCTAAGGCAGGATAATGCCCATCCCGAGCTTTGGGGAGGCTTGCCCAATGAACACCTCCTCAGATTCGCAACTCCCTTTCGGCAACACTCCTTATGAGGCCAATAAACAACAATTAGTCACAACAAGGGTCGCTTGTTCTCAAACTGATCAAGTAATTCCCTCAATAACCATCAGTGCTCCGCGCACCATCTGGCACCAACGATCTCAACAGTTCGACACCGTTGTACGGTGCGGGACAGCAACGCAAATTAACACGCCTCAAGGAGAGCAGGTCAGCCAGGGGCCTCACACAGCTATCTGAGATGTCCCAGCAGCCGCAGCAGTTGAGCTCAACAAGGGACTCGAATGGCGATAGGCAGCTGACAACCCAAGCATCGATTCCCCGGCACCAGGCCAAGTTCAGATACGTGAGAGACGTCAGCCTTGCCAGGCACATTATGCCTTACTGTGTTATAGTGCCGCAGTTGTTCAAACTGAGTTCTGTGAGCGATGCAATTGGCCCCAAACAGCTCAAACCCAACTTTGTCGCGTGCACACATTTAGAAGATTAATCTTGGAAAGGGATGGGAGTGCTGCGATGTGGCCCAGAACGCTGGCTCCTATACTACGGCAACGCCCCAAATTAAGGTCTGTTAGTCAGTTGCCCCAGGCAACTTCTGTCATGAATGGGAGCCATTATCAAAGCAGATGGCTGCGCCTTTTGGCCTATTCTGTTGCCATCCCGCAGTTGTAATATGGCCTACGCTATCAGTACTGTGTCCATCATCGATCGCATTCATTTTGTGATGAAATAGCCAGTGCTTCACCAGGAATTCTGCCTTTTCAAAGGTGCCTTTTGCCATAATGTGCACCGGAGTGCAGATTCGAGTGCCGATGCTGCACCTCACTGGGACATGGGATCTCCCATGGGACGGCTGCGCGAATCCAACTCAGAATCTTTGTGGCATGAATGGCGCCGCTTGCTGGGTGATTTCTGTCTTATTTCTCTGTTTTTTCCCCGATTCTGGCCATCGAAATGCATTTTGGTACAGCGCTCGATCTCCTTCCGAGCCCCACCCCAACCCCCAACCCCTATCCCCATTAAGTCATGAGCATTCCAGCAGCAACTGAGCCTCTGCAACATTCTCAGCGAGCTCTAGTAGCATTCTGAGGATCGCCGTGTGGTTCAGAGTTCTGGTATCGTGAAGACTCCAAGTGTTGCTTCATGCGCATCACAGATCTGCGCACATACTCAGGTCCATTGGTAGTGAACTCTAGCGCTTGGGAAGCTCCGGCTCCCACATTTCAAAGGCACTTTTGGGCCACTCCAGGATCCTCAAGTTTGGATTCGCTAGCTCCAGGCTTCCAAGTCGGGCAGGCAACGAGGCCTTTGGCACGAAAGGCACGAGTGGGGACAGTAATTGCAATGGGCCCCAGCTATTGCTATGCACATAAGACTTACTTCGTTGCTGGGATCAAACTGCATCAATGGTCTTAAACATTGCAAAGTTATGGTCTTCCACATAGCAAAGTTATGGAAAGACGAGTGCATACCATTCAGCACGTCCCATATTTTGCCATTTTGAATTATGTGGCAGCAGCTCTGACATTCAGAATGCTGTTCCTCAGTGGCCAGTTCTGTAGTGCTAGGCACATTGGCTTCTTGCCACAGCCTCACAGCCAAGCTCACTAATGCGCCCGAGTAATCAAAAGAAGATCGCGCCAGGGCTGTATGGCAATAGCCTGTCGAATGGCCATGAGATCCGCTTCCACGCCTCACTCACTTCAGACTAATGACTGCTTATGCCCCTTTGCCTGCTTGTCTTCCACACAACTGTGATGCATCAGATGTCAACTTCAGAATATGGACAGCAGACAACAAGAATTGCAACTGATCCTTGCCAACATTGACATGCTCCGACTATCCACATACAGCCCCCTCATTTCTCACCAGTTCAGTTCTTGAGGAGGACAGGGCTGGTTCAATAATATTCACAATCAAATAGGAAACGAGGGAAATGCATGAAGAGACAGGTGCTGGCGACTAGGAGAATTGCCCACGGTTCGGCGATTGTCTCTACGGCTGATCGCCGTTGGACAAGCGTGGCTTTGCCTAAGTCAGGATAATGTCCATCCCATGGGAGGCTTGCTCAGATTCGCAGCTATTTTCTGCAACACCCCTTATGAAGCCAATAAACGATCATCAGTCACACCAAGGGTCGGAATTTATCTCACTCAACCAGTAATTGCCACAAGCATAACCAGGGATCCAGTCCCTTCTGATGTGCACCAGGGCTGGCAGCAACGATCGCAATAGTCCAACACTGTCGTCTGACAGGGGGCAGTAACTCAAATTCAGATGGGTCAAAGAGGCAAGGGCTGCCAGGGGTCTCACACAGCTATCTGTGATCTGCCCGCAGCCACAGCAGTTGAGCTCCACCAGAGACACAAGCGGCGACAGGCTGTTGATAGCACCAGCACTGATTCTCCCGCACCAGGCCAAGTCCAGATATGTGAGAGATGTCAGCCTTGCCAGGCACACCATGCCTTCCTGTGTTATAGCACTGCAGTTGTTCAAACTGAGTTTTGTGAGTGACGTAATAGTCCCCAAATAGTTCAAGCCTCCATCTGTCACACCCAAACAGCCAAAGAGATTGAGCTTGGCAAGGGATGGCAGGCCTGCGATGTAGCCCAGACCACTGTCTCCTATCTTGCGGCAACGCCCCAAATTAAGGTGTGTTAGCCTAGTCAGCGCCCCCAGGAACGTCAAGCCCTCGTTCGTGACTCTGCCACACCCACACAGATCAAGTTTGGTTAGGGAGCTCAATGCTCCCAGGTGCCTCAGGCAGTCGTCTGAGGTCCTGTTGCGGCCAGCAAAGCTCAGTTCCTTGAGAGCTGTGAATGATGCCAGGGCAAGCCCCATGCTGACTGTACCTGGGTCGACTTCCGAGTCGTCAAGGGCACCAGAGTCATTCCACGCCAACATACTAGACACATCACCCATGCCGTATTCAAAGTCGCTGAATGTTGTTGCTGAATCCCAAGCTGCTGGTGGCAGAATCAAACAGGTGATGGCTCCTGTGGCCCAGGCACACCAGCGTCGACTGACCAACCGCAGATTCTTCATTGGCTGGTAAGGCATGTAGTCACATATTTCTGACTGCTCCAGCTGCAGTTTCACATTGTCTAGAATGTGGAGTGGCAAGGCGTCCCAGCACCCATGGCAGCTTGGATTCTGACAAAGAAGCCAGAAAAAGAACAGAAAATTAGACTTTTGTGTAATGTGGTGAGTTTTTTCAGGATGCCAATGCGATGTTACTTTGAAGCATCATACTGCAGTAAAGGTTCCTTGCTCCAATGAACATCTACTGCGGCTTCATGACATCTGCATTCAGCATTCAGTGTGGTGCAACACTTCTGGTGCAGTTCCTTAGAACCAACCTGCTGGACTGCAGAATCCGCTGGTGGTGTGCCCGTTGCCATTGCAGCTGTGGCACAGAAACCTCACAGTCCACAACGCCACACTCAAACACCTGTGTTCAAGCAAATTCCCGGTCAGTTTGCCAGGAAAAGGCACAAAGGCCTAACATGTATTTAATGACTCATTGGCACAGATGAGCAAATGGTCACCAGTTGGTACCCGAGTTCAGGTGCACCTTCAACCACCTGAGGGAAGATATGAGGAAGCTGCGCTATTTCGGAGGCAGCAACGTGCGTGCACTTTTCCTCCACCGTTTTCTCTGCATTTCTGTCAATATTCAGGCCGCCCTTTGTCTGGTCATCCAATAGCAACATACAAATGTGTCGCCACCATGCTCTCGTTAGCGAGGCTGTCAGACGTGGGGTGCAAGCCCCACTGCAAATCACGGATAGTGCACAGAGCGTCACGTTGTCCAGTCGCGATGCTCGCTCAGCCCGCCGCTTCCATCTGTGTGCGCTCGGCGCCCGCAGCGTTTGGAGCGCCCGACGAGCCTGGCTGCAATCAGTAGACAATTGACGACGGCAGTCCCGATTCCAGACGATCCATTTCATCGGCAAACGCGCCTCCCGCTGCGCAAGTCTCCGGCTTTGCGATCCCCGCGCCGGCAGCCGACAGCGCCTCGCCTATACTAACCGCGCGCGTGCAAGATACAGAGGCCGGGATCGAATCCGTCGCAGCTCGGTTCTCCTGAAACTGACCGCGCAGCTTCTTCCCAGTACCTTCGGCAGGGGTTGGGGCCCCCTAGGGGCCTGTGAACCCCCGGTGAGCCCCCGGTGGGTCCGGTGGGCACAGGGGGGCGAGCCACGGTGGGGCGGCTGGAGGGCCGCGAGTAGGGCTCACCTGGCCGGGGCCTCCGGAGTCCACCGGCTGTGTCGCGTGCTGCTGCTGCCCAGGATGGCTTCTGCACTTTCGAGGTGGGTGCGCAGGGGCGGTGGATATGATGGACAGATCCTGGCAAATTAAAAAACGTTGATGCTGGCGATTGGGGGAAAAAACTCATCCCCGGATATTTAACTCGGAACGGGAAGTCCCCTTTCAGAGCAGGGACTCTTTCTATGCCTCCGCGAGAGAGCACGAATGCGCCATCTGCCAAACTGTTTTGGCCAAACAGTCTACCGGAGAGGCCAAGAGGGGTTTTGAACGCGCAGCAACTTCCTGTGCAGAAGTGTCGCTTTGGAATGTGCGAGTCTGATTGGCATATGCGAGTCTGATTGGCATATGCGAGTCTGATTGGCATATGCGGTGCTATGAACATGGCGACACCAGCAGCCCTCCGAGGACCCCAGGTGGCACATTCGAGCGCCGATACTTCCCACCGGGACACGGGATCTCCCAACGAATGCCTCCGGAATCCGACGCCCAATCCTCGGTCATTCATTGGGCCGCTCGCCGGCCAAATTCCTGTCTCATTTCCCGATAATGCCACCCCGCCGCTGCGCTCGTGACCCTAAGCCCCCCCCAAACCCCCACCCGCCTGCCCGCCCCAGCCCCACTCTCACTCAAGCGGATTACGCACCCGCTCGGATGGCGGGCCCCCGTTGGCCACCGCCGCACGACCCACCCCTCTCCTCGCCGGAGGAATCCTGACTCATTCGTCTCACAAGCGCCCAAATCCCACACCGGCAGCCAAGGGTCCACCGCGCTGTACATCGGGCCCGGCCGTATCTGCCCCAATCTCCGGACCAGCGGATTCGGCGGCGACGGGGCGGGCTGGCGAGGCGGCGGCGCCCAGTCGTGCTCCTCGTCAGGCCTCCGTCCACGCCACGTGGGCTGACCTTTCGGCCCCTTGCGCCCGTTGCGTCAAATCCCACCAGCCAGCCCCCGCCCCGGTCCAGTTTGTCATGTAGCAGCGCGCCGGGTGCCTACCACACCGGCTAGGAACGGCGCAGACGCCGTGCTCCCCTGACCGAGCGTGGAGCGCGTTTTGTGGAGACGCCGGGTGAGGAGGGGCGGAAAGAAGGCGGGGGCTTGGCCCGAGGAGCCTCGTTTGGGGTCAAACGGCCGTGTGGCCGAAGGGCGGCTTGGGCGGCCAGTGCGCGGCGGCTGAGTTTGCTCGCGGGGTGTGGGGGCACATGGAGTGCATTGTTGGGAGGATGGCGGTCTTTTGAGCGGGGTGTGCGCGGGTCTTGCGCGTGGCGGGCTTGGCTGTGCGTTCGAAAGTCGCGGGGATTGACCGGGGGGGCGAGCGGGTTGTGTTTTTGAGGGTTTGGCGTGCGGCGGGGGCTCGTTTGGGGAGCCGCGGTCGGGCTGTGGCCGGAGGCCTGGGAGGGGCGGCGCTGTGGCTGTGTCACCGCGGCCAGTGCTTCCGTGAAGGGATGGCGGGGCGAGGTTTGGACCGCGTGGAGGTGCGGTGGGCTTGGTGGTGGTTGGCAGGATTTGTGTTAGGCCGGTGGGTGGGTGGGTGGGTGGTGGGGTGGGGGTGGGGGGCGGCCAGGTCGCGGTTTGTTGACGGGGTTGTGTGGTGGCGGCGCAGGGTTGCCCCTACGAGGCCGCGTGGCCGGGAGGCTGGTTGAATCGACGCACCCCTTGAAGGTCGCCCCGAGGCCGCAATGGGGCTGGCGCCATTGAACACGCCCGCCCAACACAACTCCAACAAGAGGCGGACCATCAGCCCGCAGGCCAGCCTGTGCGCCACGCTGCCGCAGTCGCCCACGCGGGTGTCGCCGCTGAGAGGTGGGCGCCCCGCCGGCCCGGGCGGGCCAATGGCTGCGAATGCACATCCCCGGACTCGGTGCGCTTTGGAGATTTCGTGCCAGGAGGGGGCTCGAAGCCGGGGAAAATGGCGGCAAGCGCTGCGCGCCCCCCGGCCCGGCCCGTCCTGCGGTTCGCGCAGGCGGCCATCACCGGGCGTCGCCCCGAAGCGTTGCCTGGGCTGCTGGGCAGCGCCTCCTCATGAGATTCTGGAACCATGGCTTGCGCCCCAGTCCGACGGGCCGGAAACGGCTCCAACGGCGTGGCACGCCGCCCGCCCGCCGGGTTTCTGGCGCGGGGCCCTTCGCGCTGCCCGCCTTCCTGTGGGCGGGGCACATGTGGTGATGGCGGGGGCCACACGCGCGGCCGTGGACGAACCCTCATCGACCGGCCGCGTATAGATCCTCGGACCGCTCGCCGTCTGGGCGCCCCCCGGGTGCGCCACGAGCGCCGAAATCCCCCGGGCCCCGCCGCGGCAGCCGATCTCGTAGGAATTGTCCAAATTTGGCGTCTTCATGGCAGAGCTTTTCGGGTTGCACGCAGCCCCGCCATTTCGCCCGGAGGCATCCGGTGGTGCGGATCTTGAGCCTGCTGTCTGACATCCCGCTCTGCCTTGCCGTGCCCAGGAATCGTGTGCCCTTCGGCGACGCAAGTGGAGGAATCATCGTCCCCGTCGCCGCGGCGCAGGTCCAGCGGCCTGCTGTCATACAACAGCACTGACGCCGGTGAGCGCTTGCCCCATGTGTTCTCCTGACAAATTGCAAGCCGCGGGATTCACACTTGGCCCATGGGGCAGCCTACTCAAAGTGGCAGCCTTTCTTTCCGGCTGACGTGATGCCTCCAAGGCAGCCCCACGACCCGGTGGGCTGCCACCGCCGACAACGGCTGGTTGCGCTCATGCGTGGTTTTGCTCCTCTGTGTGGATCTCATGCTGGCGTTTGCTGCAGTCGTCGAGGACGTGGTGGCCGGAGATGCGCTCGAGAGCCCGCTTCCGCCCACCCCGGCGCTGTACTACGAGGGCGGCATCGTGACCCAGCCCAGGGCCGGGCCGGACATGCTGTCGCTGGGCCTGGCACTGCAGCAGCAGGCCAGCGGCATCTCCAGGAGCTCAGCTGGCACGGACGAGGAGGCGGTCACCGACGAGGCCCTCAGCCAGCACTCGGCTGAAAAGGCTCCAAGGTGCATAATTGCGGGCGATGGTGGTGGAACTTGTGTTGTAGTGTTGTTCTGCATATTTTCATTCTTGGGAAAGCCCTGAAGATAATTCTAGGTGGCAGTCTATTGAGTTGTGCTCTTTCTCGCCTTGTTCTTGGCAAGCCTGACCTTTCGCTGATATAGTGGCAGGGGATGGTGAAGAGCATCGAGCTGACACAGCGCCTTGGGGAGCGACTGTGCTGGCTGAAGTTTGGTGTTGCAGGTTCAAGTGGAGTCCATTCTTGACAGAATGAAACGCTGTGCTGCAGGTTTCTGTATGGGCGTGTCCTGCTTGGAATCGGCAGCCTGCTGGTGGCGGGAGGAATGGCGCTCCTGATTAGTGCCAACAGCAAGAGGGCAAGCATCGGGTCGAAGGAGAAGCAGTGAATGTGCCTATGTGCTGCAAGAAAGAGAAGAGAATGTGATCCATAGCAAAAGGAGTTTGGGGGCGATGTGAAGATGTGAAGATCGATCGAAGAGGTGATTGATTGAAGGCGTGCAGATGGAAGAGGTGGAATTATCAGTAGGATGAGAAGACGTAAATGCACTTGGACAGTGTCATGGGATTCGTGGTACCGGCGTTGCTTATGCCTTGGGGGGTGGTACCTGGGCGTACGTTTGCTTTTTTTGTGGGTAGATTCGGTGGGGAAGTGAAAAGGGCTGGGGCTGCTGTTTTGGATTCGTTGTTGGGTGGTGTGGGTCAATTGCACCTGGAGGCCAGTCTCGGTGGTGGGTTAAGTTGTGTAGCTGCAAGTCGTCCTGCTTTTTCCAAAAAAATGCAAACGGGGCTGGAACGAATGTGGGGATGGGGGTTGGTTCGCTCAGCCACTGGGTGCACATCAAAGAAGCATGTGTGCTCCCACCAGCGTGGCTGCAGCAGTAGTTTGTTCCTTGCAGCTGGAAGTAGAGGCTGTGGAAGCCTGTGTCATGGCACCGAATGTCGATGTTTGACTGAGAGCAATCTGATTTCTTGGCGCTTGGCTCATTGTCGTTGGCGTTCTTGTACCTGCTGAGAAGATGTTAACCTGGTGTGTATGGCAGTGTGTACAATACGCTTGCTTTGGAGGAATAAGAAAATTTACTGTTGGATGTGGAGGTGGGACTTGCTCTTTGTTGGACGCTGACGATGTGAGGTCTGGGTAGCTGCAAGTTGCTTGGAGAATCGAAGGTGAAACCTGTGTGGCCTGCGCGTGGATGTGTTTTGGGTTGGATGCGTTTTGGATTGGGACGCGCCCACAGATGCGAGGTTTGGAGAACCCCTTGAATTTGTCGTCCTCGTTGTAGTCCTTTGGGGTATCCTTTGTCGTCTGCTTTGCTTTTTGCTCCGAAGGATGGTGCTCTCAGCTTCTCTGGTCCTTCATTTGACACCTGTCAAACCTCCTCAGCCATCCCGGTTCGAGATCCCGCTCATGGCAATCGAATGTGCGCAGCGATGGGCCACAACGCAGCACAATCAAACCGACTTGGTTCGACCTCTATGGCAACCTTGGTGCACGCGGTGCTCGAACGCACTCGTCGGGCATGGTCGGACAAACGGCCAAGACTCAACTTGTCTTACAACCCAACCAAGAGAAGCCACGAGCAAGTCTCGGGCTCTTTCAATACCAGAATGCGCCTCTCCTTTCGCCCACCAGAAACTCGCACTCAGAAAGGCAGACTGAACTCACACTTCACCCACGCACAACACGCTACCCCACAGCACCGACCCCTAGCATCGACCCAAGGCACCAACCCACAGCTCCAACCCACAGTACCAACTCATGATCACCAAAATTAGTAAGATTGAAGCTGATTGTTGGCCAGCCGTTCTCCCGCCATCTCAATCAGGTCAATATGTGCACCAGTCAGCTGGCACATGAACAGGTGCTTGCACAACATGGCAGCTGCGGCTGTCCAGGTGTGTCAGACTTTTATCTCTTTAAACTGGCTTTTTAATGTGTATTCTCTTCTCTCATTGAGTTTAACTGCACATTATTGTTCAGCCACCGACCTCCAGTTCTTAAAACTGGAAAGTTGCGTGTGGAATATCGAGAAAAGGTGACAGCCATTCAAAGATATTGTTGATGGAATTCCTCAAAACGGGATTCTCATGCGCCACCAATTAATCATTGGATTACAAATCAGTAATTGACGGAGGCAGATCAGTGGTCAATTACTGGTAATTCGAACACACCGCATTTCGCACTCCAGTTCACACGGGTGCACAGACACTTCTCCAAGGCCCCTATGTGGTCCCCAGAGCCCACCCCCTCCCCCCCCTTGGGGCAGAGTGCATGATTCATTGAAGTCAGTGCGCAGTGCCATTCTTCAGCCAACAGCCGCACCATGCCAAGTTGGTAAACTCGCCGTCGGCCATATGGCATGATCATGCATGATGCCATGCCAACCAACGACTGGTTCGTGACGGACGTGGCGATTGGGTGACACAACGCCATAGACCAGTCCTTGACATGGACAGCTGCTGATTGTTGCCTGCAGGTGAAAATAGCCTGCTTAAACAACATAGTGGAGTGCATGCGGCACTGGCCCCAAATTACGAGCTCACCAAGGTGCCGGAACGAAACGCACATGTGGAACAAACTCTGTTTCGTTCGGGTCGCCAATTAATGGGGCTCATGAAAAATTTAGTACATAAATGATGTCACTCAGCTGGCGACCCGTGAGGTCCAGATATGGTGCAGAGGGGATGTAGACAGCCTCAGCACGTTCGCCACACTGATCACCATCAAGCAGGCTGGTGCTCAATGAGGTGGGAAATCCCCAAGTCATCTGACAGGCACGCTATATAACTTTCCAGTATTGCGAGCTCAAGGCACTCAGAGCGCAGGGAAATGACTTCGATGACAAAGATAGACTATGGCAACTTCATCATACGCCCAAAGAGTCCACTAGGATACTGTAAAGATGCTGAGCACAACGCCAATACGTGGCAGCGCATCACAAGGAGACATGAGTCAGACACGCCTGGAAAACGCCTTGGCGTGCTGAGGACCACCCAGGTTGCCATTGGACGCGTGCGTTTGCTCAGGGGCTGCCCGTCTGGCGGTCTGCCATGGACAGCGGCGAGACGGAGCCAGGAGGGGCGTGTGGAGGCGCCACGTGGTTGTTTGATGGGAATATGCCCTGTGGGGCATTGCTTGGTTGCTGACTGCGGGAAATGTGGTTGTTTGATGGGAATGTGGCCCTTGAGGCATTATGTGGTGGCTGATTGCCGGCAGTGGGGCGTACCGGGTTGAGTTGCGGTGAAACGAAGGGTGTGGCAGAAAGATTCTGGGTATCAAAAGAGCGTCTCTTAGGACTAAGTGTATTTGCCAGAGCTTGGAGGTTTACAAGTACTGGGGGCGTGTATTGTTGCGAACTCTGTATTGTTGCACTCGGGCTGGCAGCTGTAAGAACGGTTGCGCGGCGTTCGTGTGTGCCTCTCGTGGCGGTCTAGGCACTCAGCCTGGCTTCCTGACTCCCCTGGCCATGTGCGCAACGCTCGCCACGGCCTGAGCGCAACAGTGCTCGAGCTTTTCGAAGGTCGCGGCTAGTCTGTGCCTTTTCTGAGCCGCTTTCCTTGCCGTTCAAGACCAGCATTTCCCGCGCGGGCGTGCTGCAGGCCAAAAGTGACCGACCTTCGTCGTTGCATAGCCTCGTCGAGGGGAAAGAAGCATCTTTCGTGTATTGCACCACTACGCTGTGGCAAGGGCTGCCCCGACCCGTACGGGTCGGCCCACGCGTGGGGCTGACCTTCTGCCTTGACCTCGTTGTCCTTCGGGGAGTGGCTGCGACCGGTTGTGGCGGTCTGGGGGGCTGTCGTGAGAGGTTCTACAAATGCGCTTGCACGCTTGACGGTCAGTTGGATGCTTGCTGCTCGTCTGAAGCTTCCCTTGCCGTCGATGCTAATTTGGGTCGTTGACATCGTCGCGGCAAGCAGTTCTTGGTGAAGAGCCAGTTTGCACGAGGGGCAAAACATGTTCGTTGAGTGCACACTCAACTGACGTGGTGCTGAGGCTGTCGACGTGGCTCAGCTGTTCGTTCAGGGGTGATCAGACTGCGTTATCACCAGGGATGACGGCCAGAATGGACCGCCGTCCTTTACAGTTTCCTTACAGAAGATCCCGCGTTCCGGGGGTGGGCCAGTATCGGCGCTCAAATGTGCCACCTGGGATCCTCGGAGCACTGCAGCTGTCACCAATCTCACAATTCGCACATTGCAAAGCGATACTACTGGACTTGAAGTTTCTGCACTGTTCAGCTCTTTTGAGTCGCACTGGTAGATTGTTAGGGAAGACACTATGTCGATTTTGCTATGCTTAACGCCAATTTGATGCCGGGGACCTGTGGCGTTAAGAGATTATGTAATTGCAATAAAATCGACAGAAGGTAGAAAGATGACTGAAAACGCTGCTGAGCAGCAGCAAAGCGCTCGTGACTTGTTCATAAACCTCCCTGAAACGTTCAGTCTTCAAGAGGTCCTTAGAATGCGTCATTTTGCAGCATCGAGGTTCCCCACCTTGCCTATAATGACAATTGTAATCCCATTCTCAGCCCATCAAAATTTGTACAACTCTGAGTGCGTTTCCTTCTAAAAACCAGTTAGAAATTGTATTCCACTGTTAGGTAATGTTGCTTAGTCATCCTGGCTTCGAAATAAGGATTGACACTTGGGGGGCTGAGCTTGACATCCGATTGACGCTAAGCATAACAAAATCGACACAGCGCCTTCCCTTAGGTCCAAACACTTCGGTAGGTGCCATAATCGCCCCCTCTCTCTGAAGCACCCAAAGCATCCCTGTTTAAGGCACCTTCCTGATGCGGGTTAAATAGCCAGGCACTTCTCCTGTGTCACACTGCCAGAGTTGCTTCCTCCAAGACGATCCCACCACAATGTTTGCTTTAAACCGTCCTCCAGCCTCCAGCATCAACTTGCTTCTGTGTTCCCTCCCCGTTGGATGATGCTGGGATCCACGCGGTGGACCAACGCTGCGCGGGTGTTGTTCACACGGGGAAACACTCACAAAGTTTGAGCCAGTGCCATCAGCCGTGAGGCGTCAGGCGCAGAAGGGGCAGACTTACACTTTGCCGCATCCATTCATAGTGCAAAAGATTCTCGTTCGTTTTTGCTTGCACCCAACCTGGCTCTTTCTGTCCGCACTGCTTTCCCTTGCACTTCCGACCGAACCCCAGGAATACACATAACCTCGCCACCCTGTCCCACACTTCCCGTCAACGCGCCCTACCCCGTAGTCTCCCTTAGCCGTCTCTGTTTCTGTCCACCTAGCCGTACTAACTCGATGTCACCCGTAGCCCTGCTATACCCGGTACCCAAACTGCCCATTACTTCACTCCCGTCCCCTACTTCACCATTCCCGGACTGACCGATCGCTGTTCTGCCATTTCCCAGGCGCAAGACCCCCATTTCCTTACACTTCTTTTCCTCTTTCTTGGCATGACTTGCCCATCATAGCCAGCACACCTACGCACCCACGCCAAAGGTGCACACAGGCAATCCTGGCTTGGAGCGGCGCACGACAACCACTGGACTCCGGCATCGCCGGCCAAGTGAGTCCCACTCACGGCCCTACAGGCGTACCACCGTGGCTCGCCGCCGGGGGCCCACCGGGCTCACCGGGCTCCATCCCCGGAGAACGATCTGGGAAGCACCTGCGCCATCTTTCTCAGGAGAACCGAGCTGCGACGGGTTCGATGCCGGCCTCTGTGGCCTGCACGCACGTCGTTGGCGCGGACGCGGCGCTATTGGTTGCCGGCGCGGGGATCGCAAAGCCGGAGGCTTGCGCAGCGGGAGGCGCGTTTGCCGATGACGTGGATCGTCTGGAGTGGGGACTCCTGTCGTCAATTGTCTATTGCTTGAGGCCAGGTCTATCGGACGCCCCACACGCCGAGGGCGCGGAGCGCAGATGGTCGGAAGTGGCGGGTTGACCGAGCAACGCGCTTGGACAATGTGACCTCTGCGCCCTGCCGGTGTTGATTGCCCTTGGGGGTTGCACCCCACGTCTGACGGCCTCGCTGTTGGGAGAATGGTTACGTTTGTGACGCATTTCTTTGTTGCTATTGGTTGAGCAGAAAAAGGAGGCCGGAATATTGACAGAAAGGCAGATAAAACAGTGGACAAAAGTACACACCCTTTGCTGCATCCGAGAGAGGACAGCATTCCTGCATCTTCCCTCGAATGGTTGGGAGGACACCTAAATTAGGGCACCATCGAGTGACTGTTTACTCACCTGTGCCAATGAGTCATTAAAGGCATATTAGTGCTTGGTACCTGTACCTGGCAAACTGAGCGGGTATTTTCTTGAACACAGGTGTTTGTGTGTGGGAATTTGGGACTGTTAGCTTTTGTGCAGCTGTTGGAATGGCAACAGGCACACCACCAGCGGATGATTCTGCAATCCAGCAGGTTAGTTTTAAGAAAATGGTCCAGAAGTTCTGCACTGCGTTGAGTGGTCTCCTCAGATGTCATACAGCCACGACAGGTATCCATTGCAGCAGGGAACCTTTGTTGCAGTATGATAACATAGCGTTTGCAACCTCACAATATGTCCACATTAAACAGAACACTAATTTCTGTTGTTTTCCTGGTTTCATTGTCAGGATCCAAGCGGCCATGGGTGCTGGGATGCCTTGCCACTTCATATTCTGGACAATGTCAAAATGCAGCTGGAACAGTCAGAAACATATGACTACGAGCCTTCCCAGGCATTGAAGAATCTGCGGTTGGTCAGTCGACGCTGGTGTGCCTGGGCCACAGGAGCCATAACATGTTTGGTACTGCCACCCACAGGCCATGATTCACCAACGCCTCTTAGCGAGTTTGGATATGGCATGCTTGATATGACTAGCATGTTGACTCCAAAAGATTTTGGTGCTCTTTGCGATTCGAAAGCCCACCCAGGAGCAGTCAATGTAGGGCATGCCCTGGCACCATTCACAGCTCTCAAGGAACTGAGCTTTGCCAGGTGCAACGGGACATCGGACGACTGCCTGAGGCATCTTGGAACATTGAGTTCCCTCACCAAACTTGACCTGTGTGGATGTGCCAGAGTCACGGCTGAGGGTTTGACGTTCCTGGGGCGACTGACTAAACTCACAAACCTTAATTTGGGGCGTTGCCGCAGTATAGGAGATGGCGTTCTGGGCCACATCGCAGCCCTCCCATCCCTTGCCAAGATCAATCTGTTTGGCTGTGTGGGTGTGACGGATGCGGGCTTGAGCTGTTTGGGGGCAATAACATCCCTCACAAAACTCAGTTTGAACAATTGCAGTGCTATAACACAGGGAGGCATGATGTGCCTGGGAAGGCTGACATCTCTCACGTATCTGGACTTGGCCTGGTGCCGGGGAATCAACGCTGGTGCTATCAGCTGCCTGTCTCCACTTGTGTACCTTGTTGAGCTCAACTGCTGCGGCTGTGGGCAGATCACAGATAGCTGTGCGAGGCCCCTGGCAGCCCTGTCGTCCTTGACGCGTGTTAATTTGAGTTACTGCCCCATATCAGACGACGGTGTTGGATTGCTGCGATCGTTGCTGCCCGCTCTGGTGCACATCAGAAGGGACAGGCGCCCTGGTTTCCGTGTTTGCAGCCGTTACTGGTTCAGTTTCAGAAATTCCGACCCTTGGTGTGACTAATAATGGTTTGTTGGCTTCATAAGGAGTGTTGCAGAAAGGTAGTTGCGAATCTGTGGAGGCTTTTGTTGGGGAGGCCTCTCCAAAAGCTTGAGATGGACATTGTCCTGGCGTTGGCAGTGCAACGCTCGTCCAATGATGATCAGCCCCAGGGACAATCGCACAGCCGTCATCGACTTTGCTGCTCACCAGCACTTCCCCGTCTTAGCATTGACTGATTTTTCTGTGTTCGATTGATTGCGAGTTGTACTGTTGCCACACTGTCTCGCCCGACGACTGAACAAGCAAGAACCTGGGGATTCCTGGATGTGGCCAGTGGGATCTTGTCCTTGAGGATGGTAAGGAGTTGACGTCTGAGACAGCATAGGTGCATGCACGACAAGCACAGATAAACAGGACATGAGCAAACATGAGTGTAAATGGGAACACAACTTCTGCTTCTGCTGGTGTGGTTGGATTTGACTCCACACAACCTGCAAACGTGCTTTGTGAGGAATGAAGGTGGATCACCTTGCCATTCCAGAGCTTATTGCCATACATTCCTGGCACGATCATCTTCAGTTTACCCAAGAGCTTTAGCGAACTTGGGATATGGAAAAAAGCCGATGTGCATAGCTCACTGGGGCTGATCACTGAGGAAAAGCGTTCTGTATGGCTAAGCTGCTCCCGCATGGTTCAAAATGAGACAATATGGGACATGCTGAATTGTATGCACTTCCGTATCTTACTGCAACTTTGCTATGTGCAAGACCATTTATGTGGATTGATCCAGGCAGTGTCATTCATGCCCCAGGATTCGGCATTGGATTCGCAAAGGCTTCCCTTGGGGGATTCCATGTCCCAGTGGGGGGGAGTATCATCTTCCCTATGCGCCATCCGAGATCCTAAAAGCATGGTTGCTGCTACCATTCTCATTGAATCACTATTCCGATCAGACTTGCATCTTCCAAAGCGACACTTCTGAACTTTCAAGTCGTACCAGTAGACTGTGTAGTCCACACAGTTTGGCAGATGCCATAATTGCGCTCGTCTTATGGAGGCATCAACAAAAACCCTATGAAGCAAAGTCCCGTTGGAGGCTAGGTTTCTGGGCACCAGCGTTTTTCTTTGTGTCCGAATTGACACTTATGTTCCAAATTGGGCAGAAAACCCGGAAGCGTGACCAAATTCGGACAATCTCCAGCAACGGGATTAACTATCTTGTTAATGGGTTTCTGCTAAGGGCGACATGGGGCAGGCGCGTTGGCTTCCGTGGGGCCGGCGCTGCTTATGTATCGTTTGTTTGGGGTGGCCCTTGGGTTTCTGTCCCCATGTACCTTGGGATAGTGGCCAATTTGACAAGTTCAAGGAGGGCCAATGGTTTTTGGCGCCCTTAGAGGTGACAGGCTTTGGCGGGCATGAGTGGGGGAGGCTATTTGGGATCGCCTCTTGGTCCCCACTCTATCTTGTTTCGCTTCGCGCCAAACCTTTGGCACAACCCGGATGTTGTGTAAACTACTAGGAGGTACATGGTTTACTCAAGGTATACACTGGGAAGTGCTAATAGACATGAGATTGTACTTAGATTGGACAGAGGAGGCTGTTAGCTTTCTATAGGTCTTTGAATCATCCCAAACAGGTTAGTGGTAGTGGAGTTATAGCTTATAGAAGTTCCAGTACTTAAGGTTGGGCCCTTACCGTACTCGGGGATGAGATACTATCGATACGGGTACATTCAATACATTGTTCTGTCGATTGTGTACTGCTGCATGTCCGGGTCATGTGACCGACCCCGCACAACAGCCTGTAATTTCGTCCCCGCCCACTCGCCTCTCAGCGGCTACACCCGTAGGCCGCAAGGCGCAGCGCGCACCCACTGCCCGTACGGCCGCCCCGTGCCCGGCCATTCTGCAGGCTTGGGCCCACACTGCACATCCGAAGAGATGAGCGCCCCGCGCACTCACTGCGCGTACGGCCGCCTCGGGTCTGGCTATTCCATAGGCCTGGGCCCACACTGCGCATCTGAAGAGACGAGCACCCCGCAAAGCCCGCCGGCCATCCGGCGGAGGGGGCCCCGCGGCCCCATCGGGCACCTCGACGGGCGCATCACCCGTGAACCAACTGAAAACCATGCCACCGGACCCACAGAGTGGGTCGCAACTACCGATACCTCGCCAAGTTTCTCGCCTATGAACCCTATCCCTGTTGAGTAGTGGTGCCAGGACCAAGCTCGCTGGTTCAACAACCGTATTCCAAGCTCCGCTATCAAAGTCTGTTGGCTGCCCGACCTGGTGTTCCTCCCCAGTTAGTCAACAACCCGGTGGCCCACCCAGCTAGTATCTGCTCCCCATACTAATTTGATGTCTGCAACATTGCAGAAGGGAGCTTGGTGGCCAATGCCCTCAGGGCGAACTCCAGTTATTTCCAGGAGTATGTGGGTTGAGCGCCTCCGGTGCTCTAGTTGTTTGACACGATTGCGGCCTTCGTGGACATCACTGCCCACCCCAATCCGCCTCCCTCCGTCCACGAGTTCATCCTTCCGTATGTCTACTCGTGGGGTGTGGTTTTTCCGCGCGCGCCCCCTGCGATGGATCGACGATCCCTCCGGCGATTGGCCAGGCGTAATCGGCACGGTCGCTTGAGCAATCTCGACACGGCGCAAATGTGGTGGGCCCCTTGGCAGAACGGCCTCCGCAGTGCGTCAGTCAGAAGGGCGGATTGGGTCCGGCGTTGCCTTGCGCGTGGTTCGCAGGCAGGCAGTGATAGCAAAACAGGATGTTCGTTACAGAGTTCCCAGCGTCTTGTCCCCGCGCACACAACACGGTTACATAACCCTCAAGTCACCCTGTACTTAAACCACCATCCCCACAAGCACCTAGACCGTCCTCAAAGCCCTCATTTCTATATAACAAAATGGCCCGAAAATGGCCAAAATCCCAAAATCGCCTCGTTGCGCTCCATGCTCCGCGAAGGTGCGAATCATTGGTCCGCGCGCCTTTGCGTCGCATTTCACTCCGCTCGAATAAAGAACCAAAGATAATGTTAACACAACAACTCGTATGTGGAGGTCACCAAACTGTTTCATGACTAGCTCTTGCTGTAGCAAATGCATGCAAAGCACAAAGGCTCCGGCCTTGAGGGATCGTGACACGCCATTTAGCCCAAGATTAGACTTGCCAACCGTAGCCCAGGCTTCGGGACAACGCGAGTTGATGGCACAATCGAGCGCATATGAAAGGAGCTTTTAACTCAAAAATTGAAACATGCCACAAAGACCACCACCTCCAAGAAAACGACCTCCTCCTTGGCGACTAGTGTCCCCTCGAGTGGCACCAAAACTAACAAGGGAGCCCAAGGCCCCGCAGCCTCTCCAAAGCCGGTGTCTTGAGGCACTTCCTATACAACAAGGCCCGTGGACGCCTCTCTGCCTGGCGCCGTATTGGTGCTCCCTCCCGGGTACTTCAGTGGATCCATTCTGGGAAGCCTCTCTGATACGTGAAGATTCTTGGTGTGGGGCGCCTGCCCTCTTTAAGTTGTGGACCCGCCTCGCCGGGCAACTAGGTCCTTATGGGGACCTAGGCGGGACCGCCTCAACCTATTCCCATACCTTATATAAGTGGGTTGGGGATATATTCGTATACCTTGGTCAGGGCGTCCCCCACACCAAGGGGCCATTAGTAGGGCGTCCCCCACATTAGGCCGGTGTGTGTAACACTCTCCTTTGGTCCCCACAGGGACCACAAGCCCCATTCGATGAAGGGCCCTACCCTTTGAGATCCCTAGCGGATCTAGCAGTATGGTTTATGATTCACGAGGAATACCTCTCTTCGGGCGCCATTGTCAAGGTGGACCCGGGTCCAGACTCACGGACTTCCCATAGTTTCTTAATGAAGAAGGGGTGGGAGGACGGCATCATAAAGTATTGCCTTTGAAAGAACCTGCGCTGGATTAGCCACCACCTATACAAAGTAGGCTTTCTGTTGTGGTCCCGTTGGCAGCCACTGGTTTCTAGAGTCGTTGGGGTCGCCCTGCCCTGTAACACGGTTGTTGGAGGTCAGCCGGCCTCTCCACCTCAAATGGTGGGTGTATCTAGGGCAGTCGCTTCCGCTGTCACGTGGTGGGCCCATTGCTTGGTGGGGATCGATCCCTGGGGCCTGCTGTTGGTGAGAGGTGGTGGTGCAGCAGTGTGGCGGTTTGCTGGCTTATGGGAGGAAAGAGAGTGGGCAAGAATAGTACTACACGATTCACAACATGCGCGCACATATCTGCATACGCGATGCCCGATCGCGGGTTCATTGCTGTCACATCAAAACAAGACAACACACGTGCATGTCCAGGCACATCTTCACCATCCACCGTTCATCTACGATCGACCAATTGTCCTTTAATTCAAAGCATCTAAACCCTGACCCCCTGGCCCTAAGTACTACAACTTCAGGAGGCCATATCTTTGCCCCTTTTTAACGGAATTGGGCATTTAAAAGTGCGTTGGATCCAATAACACCCCCAAAATTTCCCAAAATTACTAATTCCCACTCCAGAAAATGTCAATTAAGCCTAAATCCTTGGCAGTCATGTCACAATTCCGTTATAAAAAATTACATGACTTTGATCACTTACTCCAAAAAATAAACTTTTGGTGCGTTTTGACATCAAGGATGGTTACCATCATTTGCAGGTTTGTAGGGAGGAGGAATGTCTCCTCTAGTTTAGGGTAGGCGATGAGGTTTTCGCTTGTTGAGCCTTGCTATTTGGACTCTCCTTGTCGCCTTACTATTTCATTCAATTTATGTTAGTTGTGTGCTATTTCTTAAAGTCCCCAGGTAGCTGCGCCAAAGCGGTGAACCGTTTCCCTTTTGGCCACCTTGTGGTGAATGATGCTATAACCCAATAATATGTTACTTATATGTAAGAAGAACCGGCCATTCTTTTAGCCTATCTTGATGATTTTTTGGTAGCAATGAATGATGCCACTCGATTAACCAAATGGCCCAATTTGGTGCATACCGTTTTCACAACTTTGG